GATAAAAAAAAATCATCCGAAATTAAGCACCCCCTATAACAAAAAAGGGGTGCTTAATTTCGGAACTATACGGTATAAATACTAAAATATAATACATACAAAATTATAAAAATGAACTTATCTAACCTTTCTGAAGAAATGGGGCCGTCATATTTCCTGGATTGACAAGATGCTTCTGTATTACATTTAGAATTATCTAAAACTTTTTTTGCCTTTTTTTTCAAGCTCTTGACGGCAATTGCACCAATAAGTGAATGTTTTGTTTAATATAATGATTCTTATGATAAACATAAAAGCGCCCGTCACCTTTCTTACAGAGCCTTACAATCTCAATCGCTATTAAGTTTGCATGTGATTCATCAATATTTTCAGTATTTTCTAATTTATCTATCCAATTTTGCAGATTTATAATTGCATTTAGATCAATTCGTGCGCTCTCTTCTTCCATATTGTTCATAGTTCTTTATAAACTACATCTTCGATATCTTCTGGTTCTATAGCACTTTCTTGCATTTCATGAATATTATTCTTAATGTTTCCGTTTTTTGCCTTTATTTATACGTGTTAAGCATTCGATACATGTCTTTATTGGTTTTAAATTCATTAATTTGTTTTATTACGAACATTTTTTTGAATTCATTGGTTGAATAATTGGATTCCATTAATGAAATATTTGGTAAGAAAAGAAAAGAAAATTTACGACACTTGTTATTAAGTTACAATATACATATAAACAGACATCGAAAATTCGGTAAGTAATTAATTTCAACTCCGCACGTAACTGATCGTGGTGGTTCGTGTTTATATTTATATTTACGTTAGTTTATACAAATTAATAGCTCCAGTTCCAGTGGGTACTAGAAAAAAATCACTAGCTAGTTCAGTGGTTAATAGTAAAAGCACACCTATATTACAAATAAAGTTGCAGCAACGATAGACAAAATCTTAATTTAGACCCTTATGAATACTAAAAATTGATTTTATGTCAAAATAAAAAACATTTTTACCGTTACCCAAACCATTTTTTGTCATCCAAAATTTTTCCGAATCTCTTCACTAATTTCACATATCACGTGATTATGTACTGTCGGCAACCTTTAATAATCGCGTTCGTCACATGTTTTTAACATTTCAATTTTAAATTGCCATACTAAAATAAATGAAGAAACTTGTATGGATGATTTCAATACCGATACGCAGTGAAACTAAAGTAAGATTGTCAAATAACATATTGTTAATGGTTCGTACGCATGTAAGTACGTCCCTATACAAATATTCTACGCACGTACGTAGGGACACGTAGGTACGAATGTAACGTTCGTACGTACATTTCTGTATGTAGATAGATCTTGTGGTGATACAATGCAGCGCAACAAATAATACTTTAAGCAGGTTAGTTTATAAATGTTTATATATATATTATACAACTAGATGTGTGTGGATTGGGCTTTTAGGAATTTTTTTTTCTCTTATTATACATATATATTATTATAGATTTATACAATTTGTGACTTCGAGAATTTTTTTTTATTTTTTTTTTTATTTTATTTTTTTTTTTAACGTTGTATTACGAAACAATTTTGTGAAAAGGGATTATAAGGTTCGATTTCTCAGTTTTTTTTTTTATTTTTGTTTTTAAATGATCATAACAAATTTTGATTTTAAGGAATATTAATAATTCTTATTTCTAATTTATTTAATATATTTTATTCAAAAGTTAAGATTATATTTATATATATATAGCTTTTACTTTTAATAATAATTTTATCCATCTCAATATAATAATTAGTTACTTTATAAGCGTAAATATATTTTTTTCAAAATGACGATGACACAGCAACAAGAAATTCATCCAACCATTTACATATCCCCTATGACGGCTGCGCCACCCCAAGATATGAAACAATCTGCCGTCGTTAAGCATCTTGTTCCTCATCCGTTAACCGCAGACTGTATTGAAGAAGTATTGAATCATCTTTTAGACAGTAGCGGATCTTTATACTCTTGTGCTTTAGTAAATCGTCTCTGGAATCACCTCGCCATTCCTTTATTATGGTATCATCCATTTGGAAATAAATTACATGATAGAAAAGCTCGAATCTTATTTGAAACGTATATTTCTTGTTTTCCCGATGATAAGAAAAATATGTTATCAATGAAAAGACCACATTTCCCGATTCAAAGACCATTATTCCATTATCCAAAATATTTACGCGGGTTTGACTGGGGTAATTTTCAATTTGCAATTAAAGAATGGTTTAGTACAATGCCACAACATCATGATCTAAATACAAAATTACAATCTAGTAAATTTTTTATTGCAAATTATCTTCTCGGTAGATGTAGTGGATTGAGAGTTCTAAGAATCGAACCTGATGCTTCAACTAAAGATAATAAATTTTTGGATTTAGTATCTTTATCTAATTTTCGATTCATTTTTTCAAAACTTGAAAAGCTTGAGATTCAATTCGATTCATGTTGTGAGAATTGGTTACCAAGTTTAGAATTGATTGCTCTATTTGCAACTAAATTATCTATATGTTCAAGAAATATTCAACATATTTCGATTGCTGATAAAAATTCTAGATTTAATTCTTCACGACTTCCTTCATATATATGTGAAGCTCTTTGGCAATTAATCAAGGCTCAAACAAATCTTATTACTCTAGAAATTCATGAATTCTGGAATCCTGAAAGATCCGAATTATTTTATGACGCTCTTGAATCTCAAGCTCGTTCTTTGAAATTTTTATCCATTTCTCATATTTCACAATTTCATCTTTTACTTCCAACTTTAACAAGTTGTACTAATTTGGAAACTTTAGAATTTCGAACTGTCCCCGATACAAACATGGAAACTTTATTATATACAAAGGATTCAACTTCTCAATTATCAATTAAAAAACTTTTATGTTATGATTTCAAAGGCGATCCAAGAATTCATAGGCTCACTTTAGGGATCGTTATTTTTATGACAAATCAACATTTAAGAGAACTTTACCTTCCAGTTGAAGTTAGACCTGAATTATTAGATGTAATTTGTCAATATTGTCCAAATCTTGTAAATTTACATCTAGTTTTAACAACTCCACTTCTTTTAAAAATTCTTCCTTATATTTCCACCTTGCCGTTAAAATCTTTGGCTTTATTTGACAAAGATAAATCTTCTTTTCCAATAGAATTAATACAACAAGTAGCTCAATCATTCCCTCCTACTTTATGCAATTTGGAAATTAATTTTCATATGACGTCGCAAGGTTTACAATATTTTTTGGGAAATTGTAGAGGATCATTAAAGAAGTTGGTAATTCATAATAAAACTATGAATGATCAATATTTGGCGGTTGTTGCTCATTATGCAAAAGTTAAAAAAAGTTTGAAAATATTTATGTATGATGGGAAATTTTCTGAAGAGATGTTGGATAATGCTAGAATTTGGATTCCATTTATTGAAAACGTTCAATAGTAATTAATACCCTATCCTAAGCATTTTTTTTAAGCATTTTTAATATATATAGTTATCATTTTTATTATGGATTTATTATTTTTTTATAAGCATATACAGCACTTATTATTATTTTTTTCACACCTAAATTTTAAGCTATGTGCCTCAAGTATTAGTTTTTTTTTTTTAATTAAGCTTTTTTATAATAAGTATTTTAATCCCTTTAATATGGTTCAAAGAGTTCATATATAGGTAAAACCATGATTTTGGTCTTATCGTTATGTATCTTTTTTTTTTTTTCGCATGCCCCCTGCCGTATGAAATTAAGTATCCTTTTTTTTTTTTTTCTAAATAAAAGAAAAACGGTTTAGTTGATTTTGAGATGAATATGTGAGGTTATCATCATTATGGGCATATGCAATATTTCTTTGTTCGAGTTATAATTGCATTTTTATTTAGTTATTATCGGCTATATCGATAGTTATTTATGCCAGACAAACCGATCAAAAATATGGTGATAATATTTACGGTCTTAAATTTTTCATATCTTTTCTCTTGAAAATTACTTTTTACTAATTAAAGCTTTGTTGGTCAATCGATTGACAGATATATCTGTCGATTGAAGAAACACCCCTGCCAATTACCAACGATATGGATAACAATCGATTAGTATGAGTTCTATCGATTAGAATAATTTGCTTATAATCGATTAGAATCCAGACTGATAATATACAATCGATTAGTATCTAAGTATTTTTTTTTACATTTTTTTTTTTTTTTTTTTTCAGTTCTTGGTGCAGTACTAAATGCATGCAGATAAGTATTTTTTTCTTCGTATTATTTTTTTGTTCCGTGATCTTGTTTATAAATTATTTTCTTGCTATAGAATGTTCGTTCCTAACCTGAAATTCTGTCTTGGGTACACGTGTAGTTAAGTTTACTTTTTACTTTTTCAAAAAAAAATGTCACTTTCGTGTGTTATGCATGCTTTGTGTCTTTGATATTAGGTTAACAAGATATGGATAACATTAAAAATTAGTGAATCAATAATTCCAATGCAAAATAACTCAACCTTAATCACATACTATAGTCATCCGAATAGCAAGCAAGTTCTTTAAGGGAATTTTTCGATAATTTATAATAGAAATCATGACATTTCAATGCAAAACCAACTCATCTTAACTAATACATATTATGTGATGAGTAGGTTTGTAACAGAATAGACCATCTTTTTGTCGTTATTGAAATAGAGTAGGTTCAGTAGCAAAATTTTTATAGTAATTCACGATAGAAATCACAATAATTTATCTCAATACAAACAACTTAGCCTTAACTAAATACTGCATGTCATTGGAATAGAAATAAGTTTTATGCCAAAATTTTCTATAATAATTTTATTGCAAACTTATTCAACTTTAACCACATACTGTAGTTACTAAATAGCAAGTTTTATAAATTAATTTTTCATGATAATTCTAATGCAAACTAACTTAACCATATACTTTAGTTACTAAATAGCAAGTTTTATAAAATAATTTTTCATGATGATTCTAATGCAAACTAACTTAACCACATACTGTTGCTACCAGAATAGTAAGTTCTGTAACGGAATTTTTTACAGTAATTTATAATATAAATTATTGTAATTTTAGTGTGACTTTAACCACATACTGTATTATTTGTCTATATTAGAATTTTTTATAGTAACTCATAGTAGAAATCATAATTTTTTTTTTTTTTTTTTAAACTTTGGCTAAGTCTTGCCGTGACCAACTATCCCTACTAACCACCCCTCTACAGGGGGGCAACCACAAATCAAGTATTTCTACCATTATGAGTACATTCGGAATAGGCCCGGCTAGAGTTATTACCCGGGTCGAGTAACCCATACGGGTCACCCGACCTGGCGGGTCACGGGTCGAAAATTGCTATAACCCAGGTCAAACGGGTCAGAATTCAAAATATAAAAAATCTACTAAAATGCTATATTACGCAATTTATTAATATAACAATATGGGTAGAAGGCATTATAATTTACTAAATAATAAAGCTCTTACCGGATAGTCTGATCAGCTTCTTAGAGGTCACGTATTTTCCGAAGTAGAAAATGAATGAACTCAAATCACGAAAAATTTTTAATACAAAAATCGAAAACTCCAGTTTAAATATTTGGAGTAAAGGCTATTCTCTATACTGCAGCTCTAATTAAGAGTCGTTACATCGACTTTTAAAGATTAACTTCAAAAACTTTATAAATTTTCGTCTGACCCGTTGACCCGGGTCAATACCTGACCCGCCCAGGTCGGTATTTTCTGACCCGGGTAAGACCTCTAGGCCCGGCCCTACCCGGTTGCCTATTCAGGTACCTAGGACCGACCACCTGCACTGTTTTCCAGAGAGATCAGATCACCTTATTATTGTACTAAACTTTTACTAGCCAATCCGGTATCACCACAAGTTCTTGTAGTATCTTTATCAGACTTGGTCTCACATTATGTCTCGTTACTTCAGTTATTCCAAATCAGGGTTCTAACACACCTCGCTTCATAGCCACAACTTCTCAGAATAACTATTCTCCGAATATGTCTATCCGTAGATATCCCGGATTCCCTGTACCCCACAGTGTTTTACTTCCATTTTTGAATTTTCATTAATCCACCATTGGGAAGAATTGAACCGGCAACTATCTGATTTACAACCTGAGAGCATAACCGCTATGCTATCAACCTACAGATCAATAGAAATCATAATAATTTCAATACAAATTGATTCTACAAATATATTGTAGTTGTTAGAATAATAAATAAGTTTTGTAACAAAATTTTTACAATAATTTATAATAGAAATCATTGTAATTTCAATATAATTTTAACTTGTATTATTTGTCTATTAGAATTTTTTATTGTAACTCAATAATTTCACAATATAAATTAATTCTACAAGTAAGTTTTGTAATAGAATTTTTTTATAGTAACTCAAGATAGAAATTATAATAATTATAATACAAACTAATTTAATCTTAACTATATGGGAACCCTTACAGCAAAAGGTGGCAATGTGTCAAAAAATTTTTTTTCTTAAAAATGCCATTTCTTGAAGAATTAGAGTAATAGATATATAATTTTTATAAAATTACAGAATCAAAAATTTTGACTCATTGCCACCTTTTGCTGTGGTCGTCCCTATATACTGTACTATATTATTAGAATAGTAAGTAAGTTTTAAAACAAAATTTTTTATATTAATTCAAAATAAAAATTATGATAATTTTAATATAAACAAATACAATCTATTGTGGTTTTTAAATAGTAAGTAAGTTTTATAGCAAAATTTTTTATAATAACTTATAATATAAATTATAATTAATACTAATATAAACAGGACCCCGGACATCTCTGATATATGTTATATTTTTTTTCCAGCGAATTGCCAAAAATTTGGTCAAAGGTCCAAAGTTGAGTTTTAGCGAATTAACGTTAATTTTAAAATAGATCAT